GGCTGCGGGGCCTCTGTGCTGCCCGCCTGGCGTGCGGTGCTGCGCGGTGCGGTGCGCTCTGGGGCGGCGGCACTGCCCTCCGGAGAGTGCGGGCTGCTGCCGCCGGGATGCCGGGATGCCGGTTCCCAGCTCCTCGCTCTGGCTCGCCGGCGGGAGCCGCCCCCGCAGCACGGCCCGGCGGGGCTCGGTGCACTCCCGCAGCCCCTCCGCCCTGCAGCGCTGCGGGGAACGCGCCTGGCTGCCGGGCAGCCTTTTAATCAGGGAGTGCATTTTTTAATGCACTGATTTTAACAGTTGGTGAGGATTCCCCACTGTCATTATGCTTTGGGACCAGCGGTTACAATGACAAGACACTTGTTAGGCACGAACGCGGCTGATGAAGTGTTAATATGGAAGGCAGGGTGACATCTCTTTTATACACAGCAGCTCACAGGCTAACTGATATTTTACTGCTTTTTTGGAAAGAACATTTTGTGCACTGTGATTCTCTTCCATAACACACACTGAAAAATAAAAGGCATTTTATTCCGGAAACTGGAAGCGGAAGGAGCTGCTGATGTTGTTATTTACATCCTGACATCGCTACACAATTGAGAGCTTTTGCCCAGTTAAATGAAAAACCATCCAAACAGTGAGATGTCCATAKCTGGCAATGTCATATGTTGAACAATCTGATAGATTGCACTAAATCAAAGTCTGCACTGTCTCATCGGGGAGCTCTCTGGAGTAACTCCTTTATCTTCAGGTGTAGCAGAGGCCGTAACAGTGATTATTTCCCTTTGTAGTTCTGAGGATAGCTCTAGGCAAGTAAGGCCCGTGTTTCAGGTACACTGCATTGCTTTGCTGTCTTGCTAAAGCTGCATCTTGGGCACATCGACTCTGGGCTGAGAGCTGTGTCATCTTGGACACCTTCTCCTCTTACCATGTGACAATGCTGTGTCAGGGGTACTTCACAGCCAATCTTAAGGGAAGCTCTCTCTTCTCACTGCTGGATGCTTCTCTCTGTCTCTGCTAGGACTTTGTTCTTGAGCTTTGAGCATTCTTGAATAGCCAAATAAAGTGGGGAAACCATTTAGAAAGAGGAAAGATGAAAAGCCACATCTTTGTAAATTGTGATGACAGATCTGAAGATTGTCCTAGCTATGTAGCTTAGATTAGCATAAACCAAAATAATGGGCTAAAGTCAAACAGAGAAAAGTAGGAATGKTTTCTGTACAGAGAGACATATTGTTTTTATAATTTATCCTAAGAGATGATTGAAAGTCCTTTAAAAATTTTGATTGTGTCTCTAAAGAAAAAGAGAGAAGGCAACTTTTGCTGTCACTGCCCAAAGTGCGCAGCTGCTTGGCCTGTGGAGTCAAAAATCACCCCTTTTTAAAAGCCCACACTGTTTTGCAGCCTCAGACCTAATCTGCCTGATTAATTTGGTCTTTTTCCTCTAACTCTATTAACTTCCATTTTTAAAATGAAATCTCATTGTATTTACTCAGGCATTCTTATATTCTAAAATGTATGTTTCTGTTAGTTTATCTATCTTGGTTTGGGGTTTTGGTTTTGGTTTTTTTGTTTTTTTTTTTCTGTGGGTTTTTGTTTTGGTTTGATTTGGTTTGGTTTCTTTGCTTGCTACTGTTTCTCAGTTAACATCATCTTCCTATTTAATTAGTTCGCTGTTAAAAGATGTGTGTCAGATTATCCCAGGCACTGCCCTGCCCTTCCCTTTAATATTATTGCCACTTTTATAACCCTACAACTTCCAATAATTTTCAAAACATGTCAAAATCCTTAGATCCAGGCAAATATGAATTAATTTTTCAAGTGCATTTTTTTTTTTTTTGAGGCACTGTATCAAATGCCTTAATAAGGTCCAGATACATMAGCTGCATTTCTGGTTCAAACGGCWTTGCCCTCGYCTTTTGTGTTCTGAGTATTCTTATCTGATGTGTATCTGCCTCGAGGTCAACTGAAACTCCATCTAATAAGTGTATGAAAGTCAGCATTGGGAAAGCTTCCTGTGACTGGCATGAAAACTACACAGGATAGATGGGGAAGTTGAGCATAACTGAAAAAATAATAAAAATTTTTAAAAGTTAAATGCAAAATTAGGGTTAAATTTACTCTTTTCTTTGCTAACAGTAAAAATGAGAAAAACTGTTGTGTAGTCACAGAAACTTGCTTGTTCACAGTTACACATTTGAGCACAATAACTGGGTCCCACACAGGCAGGGTTACCCTGTGCTCTGCAGTCCCTGGAGAACATCAGCCAGCACAACAGGTGAGGTGCATGGYCCTCACTCCTGCTGAGATGCTGCTTTGTTCTGGAACAGTGCAACTCCCCTTCTTTGTCTCTAGTGGGGTTTGCAGGTTCTGTCCTCACCCTTCTGCCAGCACAGGAACTTGTGCGATGACATGGCAAGTCGGTCCTTTGATGCAATCCATCTGAACACCTTTTACTTTCTGAATGAGYTTTTCTGCTGGAACAGCTCAGCTCAGCAGGTTGTTGCTGGGGTGCATGAGGTCTGCAGCCAGAGTGAAGGAAAATGCCAGTGGCTGTGTGGTCAGGAGAGGAAATGAGGCTGGGACCACAGCGCCGTTGATTTACGTACATTTACCTTACTATGGAACAGAGCCAGTCATGATTTGAGCCCTTCTGTTTTTGTGCAGGATCCTGTCATGTGTACATTACAGCTGTGTCGTGGGATGGTATAGCCATCTGTGACACCCTGGACTGTCAGCTGTTCTCCTGTGTCCCCTGGCAGCTGCTGGAGCCTGGGATGCCTCACAAACAGAGGAGCTGGACCATGAGTTCTGGAAAACACCTCTGAGATACATTTAAAGGCTTCCTAGGCAGGAATTGAAGAGATATTTCTTCACACTTTTGGAAAAGTTACCGTGTTTCTGCAGATCCAGATGAGATCCAGATGTATTCTCTCTCTTAGTCACTTTAATGACAATAAGCATTTATTCTTTGGATCACCAGCTTGTAGGGACTTTTCTGTAGTTGGAAATGTATATTAGTTATTGTAAAAAAAAACCCAGGATGTAGCTGAGCTGATTTGGAAAGTTGAACCACTACAGGAGACTTTGGATGTTATTCAGCAGAAGTTTTGTTACGAATTCAGAGCAAAAGTGGCAAACAACGTTTRCAAAAGACACATTTTTCTATTTAATCATTCTGCAGCTGGTAAGAATTGATTTTTAGTGTTTAAATATTGGGCCTGATTTATCCTTTGCACTGTGCCAGTTTCATTCTGGTGCAGGACTTAATCTAAGAAGAGCTGTAACWCTGTAAATTAACTCATCAATGAGTCAACCCAAAACCTCATAAAAGAACCCTCCTGTTTTTCATAAGGGATATATCGACATACACCCCTACAGCAATAATGCCATGTTAAGCTAGTTTAATTCCCCAGAAAGTCTTTGTTCTTATATAACAGGTGTGTTTTTCACTTTGGATGGGTGGATAAAGATGTGCTTTAATTTTTTGCCCTATCATTGCATCATAGGATGCTGCAACATCTTCTGCTTTCTTCATGTTAACGTTTTATTTCATATAAAATATTTCTGAATAATTTATAATTAAAGTGKTTTTTTACCTTTTCTGTATTGGATCTTCTGTAAAAGCTATTGCATATGTGGTCTATTGCATTCAGTACTGAAAGGAATGTTCATTTTCAATAATATTTGCAGGCCATTTCAGGGAGCTGAAAAAGAGAAAATGGATTACAATTATGAGTAATTCTACATCAGTCACAGCCATGTAAAAATATGTAAATCTCTTAATGTATATAGTAGGAAAGGTGYAGAAGTGGATGCAGGAATACAATGTTTGCCACCGCTCTGCCCAGAAAAACCTTTCTTGTGTYGTAGCTGCTAAATGCAGTCCTATTTCAGTTGCCTCAGGAAATGAGGAATGTGTGAAAGACAGGCYCTCACTGACCACTCACCTCTGCTTGTGAGGTCTCTGCTTTCTCTCTTCTCCCAGGTTAAGCTTTAAGCTTCTCCTCCTCACCCCGTGTTGACCTGCAGCCCCAAGCACAGACTCGCCCTTGCTGGCATCAGTCTGATGCCAAATTGTGCAACAGGTTTATTGGCAATAAAAGGGTGAGAGCTTAAAGCTGGGGGTGATGCATAATTTCTGATGGGAATATTTTCTGGTTGTTCCCATCCATTTCTTTTCCACAATGTGTTCCCAGCACAATGCAAACAGGTAACTGCATTACAAGCTTTTTTTAAGGAAAGGTGGAGAACCATTTGAAATTGTGAGGGTATGTCCAGTGGGTACATATCCTTCACAAACAGCTAAGCTGGAACAGCAAGTAAAGCAGCTGGGTGGGAAAATATATAAAAACAAAATGAATAATTGTTATTAAAGGTGATTAGAGCAATTAGTGAATGACAGCAAGGCTATTAGCTCTTGGGCAGTTACTTTTTGCTACCCAGATTGTCYTTGAATTGCACTGACAGCCTGTGGAATCACTTTAAAAGATTACTTAGTCCTTTGGGAGCTCTGTTTAGAAGACACAGTGCACATTCCAGTTACTGATTTTATTACAGGATATCATTGGTAACCTTGAGTTAAAATAGGGGTGGTTATCTCTGAAGTGAAATCCTGAGCCAGTGAATCTGGTTAAGAATTTTTGTCATCAGCTTCAAAGTGGCCAAGTTTTTGTCCTTGATAATGACAGGGACATTTTTTTTTTTTTTAAAGACAGCTTGGAAACAGCTACTATTCTCAGACCACAGTATTATGTATATGTGCTTGAGTCAATTCAGAATGAGAAACAGATGAAAAATTGGGGAATTTTTGTATTCATACTATTGTATATATTCAGACATTAAAATTATAATTTGTTTGTTTTGAGCTGAAGTGAGCACATGGAAGTTGGTTTGCCAGGGTTTTTTGTGGTTTTGAAATAAATATTAACATCTTCTCATGAGAAACAGCAAATTTAAACATCACTTGACATGAACCTAAAACCTACCTGGATATCTGCAGCCCTGGAGAAACCCAGCCCCTGCTTTTAAAAGAGGTATTAGTGAGAAAAGCAAAAACCAAGTGTTAAAGGTGAATTAGGAACAATCCTAGATGACAAGAGAAAATGTTCTGTCACAGTGTATATCAYGTGCTGAGCACTGTGAGATCTTTGGCACCTTTCCTCTGGGAAGGAAAATGAAATCCTGGGAAGGAAAAGGGAAATRTTCAGGAAGAGCAAAAAGGAGCAGGGTTTGGGAAGATCTTCCTTATGCAGGAAACCCGACAGAGCAGGGAA